GTTGGCTCCAATGTTTTTCGCGTTCTGACATTTATTATTATATAGAGCTATATACGTTATTTATTACTTAATACTGTATTAGTGAAGTGGGGTAGGCGTGTTCAACCCTCGATAAGGGTATGTATTTAACCTAGTATCTCTCGAAGGTATATCGCGACTGTTGATTTGGAATAAGGAACAAGATCCTAAAATTTTATCGTTAGAGGTGATGAACAATCTGAACATGAAAGTCCTAATCATTATTTCATATGGTGACTGCTGGAAAATTGTCGGGTCTGTGGGGGATTATGATTTCGGACTGAAGATCTGAACATAAACATTGTTAGCAACATTCAATCAAGAACTGAACGACCTACGAGTACCTGTCAAGTTTCATGTTGATTCCGTTCTCTAATCAACGAAAAGACTTTTAGATTTAGCCACCGACCATGATGCCGGTATAAAAAGTCTACTTTGATCCTGGCCAAGGACGTTACTGGTGTCAAAATAAATGTCAACAATGTTGAGAACGCTCGAATTACATTAGATTGTCTACCAGGGTATAGGGATGCATCAGGCTAGGTGCTCTCCCTTCCGAAATTGTGCCCTCTCTTCTGATAAAATGCCCTCGAATTTACAAAGAGTTACTTCAAAAACTTGAGGAAATGTCTTCAAGCATGGGAGAAAAGGGTATTGTGGGAAGTCTAAGAATTCCGACGACATAAATCTAAAATGAACTAAGGCAATGGCCAAGCTATATCAAATGTATGAAATGATTTGGTATCATAATGCAGTTAATGGTGGTGTTTAATCCGAAATCGCGTGGGTTGATTAGACGACCATATGATGTAGTGGTTTCCTACCACGCTAGCCACGCTAGTTAGACTTTTACAGGAGTTGGGACTGAGAGAAATATGTTAATTTTAAGTATTGTAATGAAACTATGCTTGTAAACTATGTATCCACTGCTTGACATAAAAATAGAGACGCGAATTGCTGTATTGTTATTCGCGATAGTAAGAAGAAAATACACAACGTCTAATGATCCCAACATCCGTGTAAATTAGCAAAAAATTTCGATTCACCCGTTGAGTTCCAGGACACGGGCTTACTGTACTAATATGTTAATCCGCTAGTGTTTGTGTTGGCAATGGGCGTCTTTTCAATACAATTGTCAGCACCCAATTCATGGCAATATCAAAGGTGATAACTTACATTGCATGTCATGTAAAGGTAAAAAAGCATTGACAACTGAACTGTTAACATGAACCTCATACAAACTTTGGGGCAAAGGCATGACCAGTCGTTGATCTGCCTGTAGAGAAAAGCGTTCAGCTCAACAAATATTTTGAAAATAGTTTGAGTCGGGCAAAGAAACCAGAATTTACTTTTATTGGTCTGTCTCCATAGTGTCCCCACCCCTCTCTCATCATTGATGTCAATGACATTTAACTTTCCGATGATGATAATCTTTATAACCACAAAGAGCCCAACTTGTCACATTCATCTGATATAAATATGGAATAGGGTTGGCCCCAAACCAAGCAATCTATGAGGTTCGCCATGGAAAATTGGGATACACAAACTGGAAGTAGCATAAAAGTAAACATGCAACTGTCCAAACCACATTTCAACCTAGCCAACCCGATAACTCTGTTATCCTTCCGCCTCAATATCATGAATATTCTCCAAAAGCTGGTAGAAAATGTCTATTCAATCAAACCCTTTTCTTCGATTAAAAAAGTCAACAAAGATCACAATGGAGAAGGGACAGGGAGAGAAAGGCTAAAAATAACTGCGCGGGTTTTGCATTCAATGTAGTTCTCTCCCTTCAATTACAAAACCAATCTATTTCCCATTCTCTGGTTTGAATACACCGTGTCATGGAATAGGCATTTTATCTCGATTGTGTGAAGTTTGGTTGGTTGGTTTACTGATTCAAAGTTTATGAATTTATAATTTGACTCGCTTTAAGTGATACATGTACTAAATGTTCCATATTCCCAATTAACGTACAGGGCCGCTGTGATTCTGTATGTAGGACGTTGCCTCGCTAACCTGGAGCTCCCATGTTCGATCTGGGTGTTGGCTGACAGGGTTCATCCGAATTTTCCTAGGTGGTTCTTCCTTGTAAGTAGTGCAGGGCCTTTTAAGGGACAACCGGAGGGCCTGCCAGAAAACGACGTATAGTTGTTCGTGTGTGACAAAACCGAGGTCCCGTGTAGGCCTACACGTTTACGTGGACGTAAAAGAACCCTCGGCAACTGGAATTCGTTATTACAGTGCTGCTATATGGCGTATGCCCGTCTTCATACCACATTTTATTTCATTTTAAATTAACGCAGGCCTATTCAGTAATTCACCGTATCTAGTGTCAAGCCGTTAGGGTCGGGAGCCACGGCTGAGATCTCGTATATACACCCTGGACAGTTTTAATTGGTTGAAGACTAGACGGACAAAATATCCCTCATAGCACTGTGCATGGCGTATGTCCATCCTCATAAAACTTATTGGTATAAACTACGGGATCCTTCGACGCACCCATTGAGTCCTAGGACGCGTGCTCATTGTAATAATAAGCTTATTTCGCAAGTGCTTGTGTTGACAAATTATGGCCAGGGGCCTGTTTCACGAAATTTTAACTAAGATAAAATCCAGATTTTATTAATTTGATTGGATAATATTAAATTGATTTTAGTGCTTAGCCAATCAGAATTAAAGTATCTATTAAAGTTTGGATTTTTTTATCTTTAGTTAAGATTTCGAGAAACCGGGCCCAGGACGACTAAACTACCTTAACATGTTACACCCATTTTAAAATATCTTCACTGGATACCTATTAAACACCGGATCAATTTTTAGATAAGTACCTTAACTTTTAACCGTATGAACGACCCTCTACAAGAACTGTCAAGGGTTCATTTGCGGCACACCAACAAGTACACCGAATGTCCTCAGTTTTAAATCCTGCAATACAGAAATGGGAGACCAGGATGGGAAATCCCTAGGAACATTCTCGGCCATCATCGGGATCGATTACGGGATGTCTTAGTTAGTAACCCAGACATGGTAACGTATGATACTCTTTATTTAATCTTTAGGGTCCTTAGAAGTGGGAGCCGTCTTGGCTACTATAATCTTGGGGGTGAAACTACACGATATGCTCAATGGTGGACCCGGAGATTTAGACCTCTAAACCACCACACCACCCACTTATAACGATACTGAAATGCAACGAAATCAATTACAGTGCAGCGTCTTACTGTTCTGCACTGAAGAGAGAGAGAGAGAGAGAGAGAGAGAGAAATGGGGTTTAACGTCCACTCGACACAAACTAGGTCATTTCGGGACTAACATATGTTTTAATTTTATTTCAATAATTCGCTTGCGCATAGGGGTTGATAGACCAAAAATAGATAATGTTGCCTGTATTATTTGTGGGAAATAAAGAGTTTTATTCCTTATATGGCGTGGAAATTTAACGTCAAGGTTATTGAAGACCTGGAAAAAGTAGGGGGTATAAATTAGGTTCCAGAGAGCTTCCATATGCTTGTAAACCTGTATTCAGCTATATATATATATAATGTAGAAGCAAACTGTCGCATTGTTATTCCTGGTAAGACAACGTCTTAAGAAACTGTAAGAAGTAAATACACAACGTGAAGCAGAAGTAAAGACAGCTAGAGACAAATTCTAGACGATCACAAGACTACAGAAATATGTAGTAAGAAAAGTTGCATGGGTCGTATGTAGCATATGTGGCGACCGGTTCCCTTAATCCGCTCTCCACGTCAGACAAAAGACCTATGGCGCTACACGTGTCCGATTGTAATATCACATAGTTTGTTAATTTACATTTAAAACGATGTAAATGCATATGAATACAAAGCTTATGTAAGATTATATCAAACTTGATGTAGAAATACAACCGTATGTCAGTTTACATTATGTGAGCTGTATATTAACAGAATTGCCATTTGAATTATTATTTTTACAGCAAATTGTAAATTAACTTTCAAATAGTAGCCACATCGGTTATTCCCTCTTTGGCCAAATGTATAGATTACACCAAACGTAATGTAAAAATACAAGCAAATGTCAGTTTACGTTATGTGAGCTGTATATTAACAGAAATAGTATTTTTACAATAAATTGTAAATTTACTGTCAAATATTGTTCAAATCGGCTATTCCCCTTCGACCACGTATCGAATTTTGTGCAAAATATTTACTGTTAAATCAGTCAGATTAGTCTATGTTAGAATCTAAATGCACCTAACTGGCGTTTGGAGACAGTGATATGCCGTACATAGGCTTGTGTGGGACATTTTGCTTCGTAGCATGCCTCCTACTCTTTCCATTGTAAGAAGCAGAACAGTAGGACGTTAAACCCCATTTCATTAATTTCTTTTCATTATCGAATGATGTGTTGCATGTAATACAATAAAATTTAGATCCCAAATGATATTGACCTATGACTACTTAGCCGAGTGGAGACAAACACATCCAAAGTACATTTCAAGTAAATATACACTCCAAACTGTATTTTAACCGTAAAATGACTGGCAGAAAGTTGCCAGTAAAATCACTGTATTTTAACACTGACTTGTAGATGTACCCCTGAATTGTAGATTTAGATTTACAAACACCACGTGAATTTACAGTGAGTGTAAAATAACTTTGAGATGAATTTACAGTGAGTGTAAATAACTTTGAGATAAATTTACAACCACAGTGTAAATTTATAGTGAGTGTAAGATAACATTGAGGTAAATTTACAAGCACAGTGTACATTTACAGTGAACGTAAATTTACCCCACTTTCTATTTACAAAAACAAGTTATTTTACACTCACTGTAAATTTATTTACATCCTGTTTGTAAATCTTAATCTGCCACTTAGGTGTAAATTTACAAGTCAGTGTTAAAATACAGTCAATTTACTGGCAACTTTCTGCCAGTCAATTTACGATAAAAATACACAAATATTATTTACAGTGTGTGGTTATATTTATACAGGTCGAGTGTACGGACTTGATACAAATTGTAAGGCTTATTTCAATGCCACCAAGCTCAGTAACATGAAGCGACTGTTAGGGATGAAGACTACCCCGGAAGTAGAAGAGTATCTTTCCCGTTTTGGTTTCCCGGATAGAACTACAGCATCCGGTGACATCTATATACCCGATTTACCAGACCCCACGATACCGATTCCTGATATTCCAGTGGTTGTAATGGGCTTATCTTCTAATCATTTTGATGAAGCGAAGGCCTCGCTGTATTCGCTTGACAATATTTTAAGGCCAGCTTATCCAGATATCAAAGTTATTTTATATGATATAGGATTAACAGAAACAGAACGACAAGCCGTAAGTTCAAGTTGTATGTATTGACCCTAAAACAGTAAAAAATATTAAAATGGGCTTAGCTTTTTCCGAAATTATATCCGGATTATCGCCCTTATGGTTTAAAATTGTTTGATGTTCTAACTCATGACGTCAGCTGGTAGATTATTACCATTCAAGATATGTTACATCTTTCTTGAAAATTATATTTTATTTTGAGTAACGTCTGTAAGATTATACCCCCGTCAGACTGGGGAGGCATCTTACTGTGCTGCTACGGCGACGGAAAATGGTCTCATAGGGCGTCAAGATCGCCATAAGCGTAAAAGCGTGGTGGAAACGCCAGATATCGTGCTGAGCTCATGCTCAAAACAAAGTTTTTCAAGTTTGTAATTTTGGGGGACATTTTCTCGCGTTGTGTTCACTTTTGCCGGCACTTGAATTTTTATATTTTGTTTATTTCTTGCAATGTCTAGGTGGTTTGTCGGTTTTGTTTTGGTTGTAGTGGGGCCTTCCTGCATTTAGTTTAGATCACCACTACATTTCTGGGCAAACACGGGGATCGAACCCGGGACTGTCTGGTCGGTGAATCAGCGCCTTACCCAATGAACCCCTGTGGCTTTCATTTCAAATATGGAGAAACCATGCACAGACATAAAATTATTATTTAGTTTAACGTCTTGAATTAATTATCACTTGAAATGCTTTCAGGTGAGAAGGTATGGTAAATGTGAATTAAGAATTTTTGATTTTAAAAAGTATCCTGAACATGTAAAAGTTCTACACCTTTGTGCCTGGAAACCAATTATAATACAGGTAAATTTGCTATTAACTTATATTCTCAATCAGTGAGTTGAGAGGGAGAGAGAGAGGGGGGGGGGGGTAACATCCACTCGACACAACTAGGTCATTTCGGGACTAACACATGGTTTAATTTTATTTAAATAATTCGCTTGCGCGTAGGGGTCTTTAGCAGTGAAAGGAAGTCGGAGGACCCGGAGAAAACCCACGATGTTGGAAGGCGACCCTGGAATCGAAACCACTTCAGTTGACTCAATGACAGACCTCATGATACAGCGCGCACGTGCTACCCCCCCCCACCCCCCGTGAGTTTATAGAGAGGTATCAGGTTCAAAATGTGATCTGGACTAAAAATAGAAAATCCAAATTAAAATTAAAAAGGATTTTTTTACTATATCTAAATTGGATGATTTCGTTAAGGAAATCTATAACACATTATACATTTAAATTGAAACTTTTCACCTTCAAATCGTGAGAATTCGTCTCTCTACTGTTAACTTTTAAATGTATTAAAATTAAAAAGGATTTTTTTACTATATCTAAATTGGATGATTTCGTTAAGGAAATCTATAACACATTATACATTTAAATTGATACTTTTCACCTTCAAATCGTGAGAATTCGTCTCTCTACTGTTAACTTTTAAATGTATTATTGACACGAACAAAGATTCTGTTAAACTGACAATTTGTTGTTTTGAATCAAAATGAATAACTGATGGTGGATCTCTTTTAAGTGGGGTTGGTTGGTCTAGTTGTCTTTAGATCATAAGTTCAAGAATTGAAACAAGTGGCGTGGTTTAAATCCTAGACTTGCACGTGACATGGAATAGGGTCACCTGCCCAGCCTAGTTGGTTTTCTGTGGGTCCCTCTTTTTCCTCCCACTGCTTAATACCACCTCTACACACAAATCATAAGGCAATAAAATTGTACGATATGTTAATTCCGAAATTTGTATAAATTGTATTCAGTGGACGTAAATCCCCATATTTCTCTCTCTCATGGCACTAGGAACGCATTTATTGCGTGTTATAAACAGGAGTATACACGTGCGAAATGACCACATGGCGTTTCCAATCCACGTAAAACTAGACTACTCGCAGATATTCGAGTGAATTATCTGTGAATTATTTAATGGATACTGACTAGACGTGGTAAGCGACAGTCATACATGTACGTATACCAAAAGACTTAGACATATTGAAGTGGATTTAGTTATTATTATTTTAACTAATTATATATTATATATTGTCTAGTCGCTCGGATGGGACGAAAAACCGAGTGCCCGTGCACGTAAAAGATCCCTTGACATTTGGAATTCGATATAATAGTAGGCCGTAGTGCCGCTGTTCGGGCAAAATTTCCCCCATAGCACACTGTACGGCGTATGCTCGTTTTAATTAGCCCAGTTCGGAGCAGAACAGTGGGATGTTAAACCCCATTTCATTTCATTTTATTTTTTAAATCACATATTTTTAAGCACAAAAATAATATTTAGTAGAATCCCGACACAATAGGTTCAGTGGTTTTAATCCCCATGTTTATTGTTCATATTTTGATCAATTTCTTCGTTTTTATCTATGTTTTATTTGTTACAGGAAGTCCTGAACCAATATGGTTTTGTCCTGTACACGGATGCTTCAGGTCGATTTAGAAGTTCAAGATTTACACCAACTTTTAATTATGTGAAGGAAACAGGTGTCATTTTCCGCTCAGTAGAACATCTACCATATTTTCTAGTTAATCACACATTTGCTAAAACATTTGAATATTTTCAAGAGAAACCATGTTTGTTTCATAAAATAAAAGAACCAGGCGCGACATTTGGTTTGGTTGTGAAAAACAACCTGTATTCCTACGCCATCATGAGATCGTGGTTAACATGCGCACTTCAGAGATATTGTATTATGCCCGAAGGGACAGAACAAAGACTTAAATGTCCATTGAATGTTTTTAAATATCATAAATGCCATCGTGAAGATCAATCAGCTTTGGGTATTGCTATAAGCATGATTTATCATTACCCAGAACGACGACCTTATCTTGCAGAGGAAATATATTACATCTACTGGGATAGAAAACCGGGCTATTTTTAAACTAAAGAAAAACAGATCAATTTAAATCACAGTCTGTCCAGTGGACTGACTATGTCGTTCGCCATTTCTGCCAATTGCGATAAAATAAAAGTATTTGGGCAATTTTTGTTGTGGTGATATTTTTTGTTCCGCTAAAATTTATTTAAGCTTTTTTAATCATTATGTTGTCAATGCGTTCCTAATAAGGGTCAACGCTCGCCCTGTCAATCCCTATTTCCACGAATTGCGATAAAAATATAATTTTGGACTATCCATCCGGAGATGATTCGTCTCTACGGTCAATTCGTCCCAAGACAATTCGTCCTCTTACTATTTGTCCCCTAAGACAATTTCTCTCCGATCAACAACAATGGTAGTTCCATGTAGATTTGATATCAATTAGTTATAACATGGTCCTTATGTATTAAGGTCCATGGTTATAACTTCTTCAACCGCTTCATAATTAGTGGTAATTAAATTTTAATTGTATTCAAATTTATAAACCTAATTTAGGCCTTTCTCTAATTAGCATTTAAGAAAATAGCTTCCTACATCTCAGCTCACAGCCGACTTTTAAACATTTTTAAATGTAATCATTACAATTACTTTCTCATTTTTAGCAATGTAATTAATTACCATTACCCATTGCATTGAAAGCAATTAATTACCATTACCCATTACTTTATGAGTATATAAATTTAAAAAAAACATTTTTCATAGACGACCTTAAACAGACAATCTTATTTTTCTACAACGAAGCGCATACAAAATCAAACTCGATAATAATTCTTGATTCACAATAATAGATATTTGTGTATGAATTGTTATTTCTATATATTATAACATCAAGGCAAATTTTCAAATGACGGGCAGTGGCGACAACAACTGATCTTTTCACTGTATGACTTGAAAAAATGAATTAACTTTATTTTTTTAAAAGTAATTTTATAAAATTCTTAACTTTATTTTTTTAAAAGTAATTTTATAAAATTCTTAATCAATCCAAATAGTTTTTCTATAATAATTGTATGGCTGATGAATTATTCAGCATGACTCTAAAACAAAATATATATTTGTTTTATTATGTTTTATATAAAGTAAAACATACTTGAAGGCCATTGTTTGGTATGTCACTTGTTACCTTGAGATTAATATTAAAGTGTAGTAAGACTACTGTCTTTTAATCTAACTGAATGATTGATTGATTGACTTGAGCGAAAGCGAGAGAAATGGGGTTTAACCTCCACTCGACACAAATTAGGTCATTTCGGGACTAACATATGGTTTAATTTTATTTCATTAATTCGCTTGGTCGTAGGGGTCTTTAGCAGTGGGAGGAAACCGGAGGACCCGGAGAAAACCCACGAGGTTGGACAGGCGACCCTTCTCCTTGTCACATACAACCGGGGATTCGAAACCATGCCAGTTCACTCAATGACAGGCCGTATGATACAGCACGCACGTGCTAACCATTTAGCAATCCATCCCCCCTTGACTTGAGTGATTGCCCGCAAATTAGCACTAATAGACGAAAGACCGAAGGAATTTATCGTTCAAGTTCGTTGCAACAACCTCTGTGGGAGATTTTAATTTTTTAAATTACACGTCTCTTTGTACTAATTTAAAAAAACAGATCTCCACACATTCAGCATGTGCCAGTATTTAATAATTATTTTTTAAAAATGGAATTCTTTTTAACCTAATCACCTAAAAAATAAACATTACACGCGTAGGAATACGCACTATGATCAATGCCGAGTGCCATTTTGGCCAATCAAAATAAAGAAAACTTCTATCCCCGATCCTTCAATCATGGCGTACATAGTCAACAAGGACACATTTTTCTGGCATTCTGACCAGAAAAATGAAGTGCCTTATTCATCAGAATGCAACACAGCCCTGCAAGTTACTGGTTATTAACGACAACACGTGGAGGCATTGTGTGGAATATTCAAAACAGTGGCAGACTTTGAATGGAGAAGAAAAAATTAAAAAACATTGCAATCACGTATCGAGATGTGTTTGAACTCGAAGGTATGTTTGTATGTTATTATTAGTTATTTTATTATTATTATTTTCTTAGTCTTAGTATTTAAATTTTTTCTAGGCTGTGAGTGATCACGTTGGTTGTTGTTAAGAAATATATAAAGTACTTGTTCACAATACATGGTATCACGTGGGAAAACTTTCAAGTTTTAAAACAAAACCGAAGCCTAAACTGGTGAAGGGCAAAACATTTTTATGAAACATAACTAACAAATTACATTAGTCATTAATAACAATGTCAAGGGTTATGAAATATCATTTTCAATAAAGTAATATTAGAAATATGGAGTACAGCACATAATATTTAAAATTACATTCTTATTAAAATCATTTAGTCAGGTTCCATGGAACTTTGTCAAATTTATATTTGGTCTAAAACAAAACCTGCCGTCTTGTGGGAGCATAGTTTGGAATAGCCTTTACAGAAAAATCAAAGGCAATTAGTCTAAACCGTGAAAAGATCTGCAAAGATTATTGATCCTACAGGCGGAAATGCTATTTAAATAAGCAATTTTAGATTTTGATTTCATTTAGAGACTGCATTGCTCCAAAAAAATTTAGATGTAGGGATCTAGTGGGCCGGTTAATTGGGCTTCGTAGTTTTAGGCGATATATTCTAGTATAAATATCATGCAAGAATTATAGTTTAGAAATTAATATTCACCCAGGAAGTCTGAGCTAAGTTACTATATTACTGGTAATATATTGTTAATTGAGCAAAGATAATTTAATCTATCACACAATTGTATTAATTGTAGATGTTCGTGTAAAGTTGCTGCTCTTTCCTGTACAGATCTCTGTGAATGTAAAGACTGTCAAAATTCCACACCTACACCCACAGAGATGGCTATGGATGATAATGATGATGATCATGATGATGAAGAAGAATGTTGAATGTAAAAACTATATATAAAAAAAATAAATATATATATTTTCATTATTACATCAACAAATATCTGTTATAAAAGTATTATTTTTTTTTCCTTTTCTTTAAAATGATTTTCTATCCCCAATTCTTTGTACACCTTTAACCTGGCATTACTAAAATTAAAGCAATATCTGGGAGCATGGATTTTATCCTCAGTTGAATGCTACATTCTCACATAGTTTATAACTCTTACATCAGGGATTTTTTTTGTGTCTGTCCCTTATGATCAGCTGAAGTTTAGTGATTTTTTTTTCTCTTGATTTCTGATATTTTTAAAATCATGTTATTCCATCAGATTATAATTTTGTTTTATTTTATAGTAAAACTAATGTTTTAAATCTGTATCATTAGTCGAGTTTAAATTTTGTACAGTTTTACAATTCAAGTAATCTTTGCTAATATTGAACCTATCATTGAACTCGCTATAACATATATTAACCATAACAAATTCATCATGCATATTTTGTACACTTTAGTCCATGAATGATTTAGTATAATTAAAAAATCAAAATCAACATGTTTTATTAAATTTTAAAATGACTTTGTATATATGTTTTTACATACCTATTGTATGCTGATTCAAGCCTATACATTCATATCTTGTCAACAGAGCTTGTACATACTGTTTTTTCCATATTCATTTTCATTAAAATCAGAACTTTTGTCAATTAAAGTCATTACAGTAATATTTAATGTTTAATTTTTGAACTACATGTATTAAAAATCTTAACTATTTCTTTATATATCAGACATGTGCAGCATACATATTTATTTTAGTCTATTATGATACATTTTTTCTCAGTTGTTTGATGTTAATTATCAATGAATTAGTGTATGTGTAGTGTGTACATGTGTGTGTATGAGTGTATGTAATATATATATGTGTATATTTATGTATTTGATTTATTATTGTAATTTCATTATGTTGTGATTGTAATATTTATATCTGTATTTTTTTATTTTTTTTTGGAGATTGGGGTTGCCTGCTCTATAACCCAATTATCTTTCATAAATAAAGTTAAAAAAAAATAATGTAGTCTATATATATTTTTTAAAATAGGGGAATGGACAAACAAGAGACATTTTAGCCAGTTATTAGAACACAACCAGTATTATACCTATGCATTAATTTCAAAGAGTCATAATTTAGCAAACACAAATAACTATCCACAAAACATCAGTTAAGTGTTATTATATTGCCAAACCTTATTAGGGGTGCCTTTGGTATGGATGTGGTCGGGCTTTAGGAATTTCCGTTTTGTGGGTATATTGATATTAAAAGGTATTTCCAACCTTTTATGGAGGGTGGGGGATTAAGCAGTGTGTGAGGGGGGGGGGGGGGGCTGGGCCTTGCATTTGATTTATGCATAGTTATATTATATGGATGCTACAGTGTCAACTGTATTAGAGATGAGGAAGGGTGGGCTTAGGGGATCTATTCTATTAGGGTGAACTGGACAATGCAAAGGATGTATGTCTACACACGCAAAGACAAATACAGTAGGAAGAGAGCCTCTAATAAAATATAGCTTCACACACCTTGATTGATTTTGATATTTGGCAATTATCTATATTTATATTCGATTATATATAGGCCTATATCAATGCTATCAAACAACATTTCCAACCCTTCTCAAATTATCTTAATACTCGGAACTGTGGTGGGACGTTAAACACACGATGCATGCAAAAATTATTTCCACAGTGTCGTGTACTTTCTTAAGAATAATAAATTGATTCATCACATTTACACAGGCTACAAAACAGCTAAGAATTTGTTGAGAGAGGACAAGCCCGTCAGGTATTACCGACAGCGGCTTCACGGGGGTAAGAGGGGTAAAGCTTGTCTGGCATCGGGGAAAACTGTCCGTCTGATGGGGTGAAGGGTCCGAAAACACGGCACATAATCGCCAAGTGGTAAGCAGCTGTCAGTTGGATACTCTACCCAATGAGTCATTGCTGACCTAAATCTTTCACATTTATGCACTTATTACATGTTAGCCGACACCGGTAAATACCAGTATTAATAGCGCGCACTTTCTTTTCATTAGAAATATGATTTACAACGAGTTTGGCTAAAAACAATTGACCTAATTATATTATAGCAAAACAACGACGGTGATCGATTAAATTCTCCTTAAGGTCACGTGTATTTACCGTTATTCGCTATTTACTAGATTTTCATTGGCTGAAAGCTCGCCGTCTCACTACTTTTATTATTGCGAGGACAAAAAATGCTGTCGTTTAGATTATTTGTTTAAAACGTTTCTGGCACATAAATTGGAGTGTGGCAGTTAAGTTTACAACACATTAGGCTTATTTCTCGAGAAATAAATATTAAAACTTTCCACAGCGGTGAGTTGCAACGACTTTTGAAAACTAAGCTAGTTAGAACTTCCCAGTCCTCCGCCTATAATCTTTGATTACAGTATACATCTATTCAAAAATCCACTTACATGACTAAAAAAGGGTCTTACATGTACATAAAAAAATAAAAAATAAAATGTTTAATGCCTTTGTTAATATTCTTATTATACTTTGTTAAAACCAAAAAGCCTTGGCATATGCTAGAAGAGCTCTTACTAAAAGAGAATATATATGCCCAAATAGAGAAAGGAATGTTCCTGCTATTTGCCTAGGTTAGCAGAAGCATATATTCGTATTTAGAAGGAGATGCGAAAGCGAAAGTTAAGCTTAGACAAGTTCAAAATGACCAGACCGGTATCTTTAAAGTACTACGTGAAACATTTTCCGAACCACATTCAACATCGCAGTTATTAAGATTATTTTACGAAAGGCGCCAACGACCAGGAGAGAGTGTACGAGAATTTTCATATAGCATTCGTGACATTATGGATAGAGTTCATGAAAAGGATCCATTAAAAGCTGTATGTGAGAGTGCGGTTAGAGATCATTTCGTTGATGGTTCGGGCGATTCCTACCTATGCAAGGAAATAAAGAAACAAATTAGAGAAAATCCAGGGTTGTCTTTCCTCGACGTGAGACAGAGTGCCTTGGAATGGTCAGAAAATGATTAAAGATCACGA